GGAGCATTTACCCGGCCTGCAATGAAGGCTTGTAGGATCTACAGTTTACGATCTCGTACCAATGGACCTACACCGCCTTCACGATGCATCCTTACAGGTCCTGGGACTGGGCACTCTCGCCGGGTTTGTAGATCCGTAAGTTAAGCGACAGAAGAATCAGTGGAGCTGTCCCGAAGTTCTGATTGTCGAAGTGCTATCCAAATCTTGGAAATCCATTGTGGCAGAAGCCAGTCCGGCCTTTAAATTTAGCCGGTACTCTCATCCAAAGCTTACAGCTCCAGGCTTCGCTTCAGCGAGCAGAAGGGCGGGTCAGAAGTTCAGAAGGCAAAAAACCGAAGCTTTCGTGAGCATCAGACAAACGACATTTGTGTTTGAGTGCTTCACGGTGTGCGATTCCACAGCCACTAAGCCAACATGGGCTGCCTCAGAATACGAAACCCTGAAACCAAGACAGGAACCACCAACTCAACCACCTCGACATCGTTTCTTGAATCCGAGCATTACAAACAAAGTCGCAATGGGATACAGCAAAACACAGGGAAGTCAGCAATTTCTCAGCTTGTGCTTGATGGACAAAATTCTCATCGATGCTTGACCAAACTCGCACGATACAAATGCGACAGGGGCTGCGAAGTCCGTGCGTAACCTGGAGGTCGGATATCTGGTAGCTGGGCACCGAAAGGAAGCACCAACTCCCGAGATTCCGAAGCTATAAGCCTAATACGGATGCAATGCCTAATGCGAGTCATAACTTGCTCAGAGACACACATGAAACTAACAGTATTTATAAGAACGAATGATATCAACATTGGTCTGCCCATTTTATTTGAGTACTACTCAACTCATCATTCCCATAAGATCAGCGAGAGATCCGAACCATTGATAAGAATACTAATGAACAGCCCTTGCTATGTTAATAGTATATGTAATATACCCCAAAATACTATTCTAACGATTATTATAGCTGTATAAGTCATTTGTTTCTATTCTTATTATTACTGTTTCTAAAGCCCCTAGAAGGACTGCAAGAAGAGCCTTGGCTCCAGGGATCCGCGTCCGCCCAAGGATCTGACTTTGGGGAGCCTGGCGAACCTGCTTTTGGGAGTTTCCGAAAATAGGGGACCCTAATATAGTACCCTAAATAGTAGGATCCTTACTATAAGGACCCCCCCCCCATAAGGTACCCCTAAACTTTGGAAACTCTGTTTTGGGAGGCAGCAAAGCATAAGGGGTTGCGGCGCTCACACTCGGACAATCCAGCTAAGGGGTTTCGGGTTTAGAGTTACAGGGTTTGGCTTGTTTTGGCAGGATTTTATAGGGTGTTATACGGTTTGGTTTTTCACAGATGCTATATGGACTCTATGATAGTCTTATGGAGGGGATCTACAGAGTTTCATAAATAGAAGAAGCCCGTGGAGGCTAGATGTGTAGAGTTCCTGAATGCTCCTCATTTTGCAGCTATAGAAGATTCCGGTTCCCTTACAAGCAGGTTGTTGTGGCGGTAAGCACTAAGACATTACTGTAGGGCTTGAGGGTTGGAGCTTTCAGCTTCAGAAGGTCCGGCGGCTATGCACCGAGGAGATTTGGGGTCTCAGGGTTTGGGTCAGAGCGGGAATCCCCAATTAGGAGCTTTTACAGGACTTAGGCCCTTCGGACTCCGACTTTGGATTTGATGGCCTGGGAAATGAGGCGCTGAAGATCTCTCATCGTAGTTGTCACAATCCAAAGGTGATCATGTAATTGGGTGCTGGCTGAAGCGGCTGAAACTTCAACCCTGAGTGTTCGGAAAGTCCGGAAAAAAAACTGCTGAGGCCGTTGATTTACACCACTACCTGTGCGCAGTGGCCGGATCACTGGGAGAGCAGTGCCTTAATGACTGTGATTCGACACCTCGCAACATCTGATCGGAGAATGGCCTGTGCTCGCAAGGGCTGAAGATGATAAAGGCCACGGCCACAACCCTTTCCATTGCAGCGCAAACGCTCTTTTCGTCCCATTCCGCAGCCTTTTCTCGGTGATGACGGTCACAGCTTGTAAGCAGTTGCCTCGCGGCTCAGAGACCTACGCAAAGTGGGGGTGTAGGGGTTGGGTGTGAACCCCTTCAGCTCAGCTCCCGGATGCTCTCGGGCAGCTTCTGCGCGACTTCGGCAAGAGCTTGGCCAAGATGCTCATCTGCATCGAAGGGCCTTGCTGCTTACGGCTGACGTGGCCTTTGTTTATATACGCTTTTGAATGTGTTTTTGTTAAGCTGTATGCACTCCTAGCTCGGGGTTGCGGCTTGAAGGGATAGGCTCAAGGTTGTATAAGGTTTCTTCTGTTTCTTGTGCTCTAGAACGCAAGCGTCATGGTTACTGCTTACTGCAACGGCAGGTAAACACCGCACTTCAAGGTAGATCAGTGGGCATTTAGGAATGCTTAGGAAGTTTATGATTGGAATGTGTTGGAGCCCCAGAATGTGTCAGTGTCAGACACCGGGAAGCTCCAGCAGAAGCAGGGGAATTGACACAGGCTCTTTAGCTTGGGAGGAGCCCACAGTTCATCGAATCTGGAATCACCGTGGAACATGTGATATCATCTCATGTTGCATTATCTTCTATGACGTTATGTTATACTTGGTTAAGTCATATTATACATTTAAGCTGCAGCTGGAGAGTCCGGGAGGTTTGGCACTTCGAGTCGACAGGGGAAGCCCTCGCGACATGGGACACCTGTGCACACCCATAATAAAATCAAAAGGATGTGTATGTATACATATATGATTCGAAACACACTCACAGACATGTATATATATATATATGTATATATACATATGTATTCTCATAGGGAGAGAGAGGAGAGAGAGAGAGAGAGAGAGAGAGAGAGAGAGAGAGAGAGAGAGAGAGAGAGAGAGAGAGAGAGAGAGAGAGAGAGAGAGAGAGAGAGAGACGAGAGAGAGAGAGAGAGAGAGATGAGAGAGAGAGAGAGAGAGAGAGAGAGACAGACAGACAGACAGACAGACAGACAGACAGACAAGACAGACAGACAGACAGACAGACAGACAGACAGACAGACAGGACGACAGACAGACAGACAGACAGACAGACAGACAGACAGACAGACAGACAGACAGACAGACAGACAGACAGAGACAGACAGACAGACAGACAGACAGACAGACAGACAGACAGACAGAGAGACAGAGAGACAGAGACAGAGAGACAGAGAGACAGAGAGACAGAGAGACAGAGAGACAGAGAGACAGAGAGACAGACAGACAGACAGACAGACAGACAGACAGACAGACAGACAGACAGACAGGACAGACAGACAGGACAGACAGACAGACAGACAGACAGACAGACAGAGAGAGCAACGTGTGCCCGAAACACTGGGAGAAGTCGAAAGCACGGAGCACAAAGAAGCGCATGCAGTATCGCCGCCTGGCACCACCCAGCACAGATTGATTGGCCTTTGTGCTCCGACTTCTGCGCTACTATGAGTATCGCGCCGGGGGCTGCGACCACAAGTCAATTTTCAAAGAAGTCCAAGATTCCTGCAAACAAAAAAGTTTGCAACTCGCACGCCAAACCCTGGCTCGAAGCTGAAAGTCTACAACCAAATCCAAAGCTCACAATCAAGTGCTTAGCTCATCATTCCCAGTGGCTGTTCATCATTCGCATCTTGACCGCGGGCGGGAATGTCGCAGTCACACACCATCGGTACGGACATCTTGCCTGGCGATGCGTACATATGCACGTGGCACAAAGTGCTGACATAAATTCTTGCAGACCTAGACATGTGCGCAAAATGCCTTATGTCATCTGTCCACGTATGGCTTCACGACGTGACCCAAAATCTGCCCGCTGTCTACACATGACTTGCCGTCCAAGCGTCAGCTCGACCATCGCCTTCACGCTGCGGATGAAAAGGCCCAGTGGCCCTCTGGTTCCTTTGATGCATGTAAAGCATTAGGGCTGAGGACTTGTGGGTGCAGGCCCATGGTGGAAAGACCTACAGTCCTGAAATGTGGCTTTGTTGTATGCTGCTTTCGGCATGGTGTCTGATATGCCAGATAGATACACTTCCGGGGCTGGAAATGTCTGTGATTGTCTGTGTGCGTGTGCGCGACGGCTTATGGCTTATGTGACGTGATGATGTCGATGACGGCTTGCGCCAGTTTGAGATTCCATACCTATCTGGCCGACAACCTTGTCCCGGAGCTTCCCGTGACCTCGTTGAAGATGGCCTTTTGGCGCTGCAACAGTACATGATCGGAGTCAGCCGTATGTCAGCACATACATACATAGGCATATGCCAACGTACATACCTAGATATGTAGATTCAGGTAGATGTGTAAATCCGTACATACCATACATGCCATGCCATGCCATGCCATGGCATGAGATACCGTACAGTAAAATACAGTACAGTACAACATTCATACAAACATATGCTCGCACATACCTACCTTCATGTCTGGTGATGTACACTCACAGACGTACATACGTGTACATACACATACGTACAGGCATACATATGTACATACCAACAGATGAACGTAACGTACATGTAATTATGTTTCAGTAAAATGGCCAATTAATGAACAAATTAACTTAGTCATCGTTCATCCTCAAGCCTGCAGCAATCAGGTTCAGATACGAGAGCTTACACAGACACACCCTTCCTTAACCCCCCGGAAAACAACAATAAACAAGGCACGCGAATTGAACTCATAGTGAGGGACGCTAACAAGCCAGGCTTTTGGGGTTAATGTAGACCATACCATGGTTCCTACAGCGAATATCGAGGCCTCTTTCCCTGCGCATGAATTATACGGCTCCTACATGACTCTCAACCTCTGAGCACTCGAAAGAAACACAGCCGAAGGTTTCGGTCGATGGTGCCTAGGGAACTTGAGTTTAAGGAAACCCACATCAAATGTGGCTGTAATTAACGAGGATCCTCTACATACATAGTGCCTCATTTTCAGACGATTGACAAGGGTCAGTAGTAGCCTGGAACTAGAAGTCCAGAGTGAAGGGCACATTCTGCCGGCCAGTCTCCTGGAGCTCAGGGTCAATTGCCAGGATAGAGACAGGGTACCGCCACGCGCGATGCAGATCGGAGCAAACTTCCATAATTGCACCGCCGTGAGTCGAACCAACTGCCATGTTGCAAAGAGGTCCCTTCGAAAGTTTCATGCGATTGGCCACGTTTGCACGAACGCATATGTTAAGATGTCCACGCGCGTGCGTATGCTCGGCGCCGTAAATCCACATTTTCATGAACGACCCCGCTACTGCAGTTGGTCGGTCTTCGGCTCGAAAATGCGATCATGGTTTTCGCGGGACCATCGTTGGTGACAGTTCGATAGCTAGAACATAAACATCTGATCCTTAGTATGCAGCTGCCACGGCTGTGGGAATTCAACACACTCCACTGAGACAAATCCTCTTCTCGCTCCCCCACTCGCACTCACGTACTTCTGCTCCGGCAATACTATGACATACTATGACAGCTCATCTTCCCTCTGTCATGTGTGCTAGACTCCTCCTCAAGGAAGAAACTTTCAAAAACCTCAGTGTCTGACTCTGGTATGTAGTATTGAAGCTCATCTAACGGTGGGCTTGCACTGCTGTCGCTACTATTATGGTTAGTCAGTCGTGTTTAAGCTCAATCGTAACCCTAATTACCATGTCTTGCGCGGCTAGGGTCCTGTTTCAATAGCCATGCGCTCTCTGAGTGGTAAGAGAGTGGATGGTGCTTCGGCGCTGGAATAGGAAAAACCCTGGAACTCTCTGTTCGGAGCTTCTCTGTAGATAGCACTAGCACTTACACTTCTGTTTCTAACTGGCAGAAGAGTCGCGACAAGTGCTTTCATAGAACTCTTGGCGTGGGCACGGGACGGGTCCTTGCTCAGCGACGAAAGGTTTGACCAAATGTGGCCTGCAACAGACGCAGGGTTGCGATTTGCGGCTTCTTACTGCCGAACACACGGAATCACCGTTATGGCCGCAAGATGAGAATAAACGGTCAGGGACTGTCGCTTGCTGCAGCTCGTGGCTTGAGGCTTGTTGCAATTGAGAAGGTAGACGTAGACACAACGAGACACTTCATCAACTGTGAAAATGATAGCTCTCGCCGACTAAAGATAGGTTTTCTATGGCTTGCTGAACTTCGAGAGTGTGGGATGAGAGCCGAGGTGCTTCTGAGAAGTCTTCTGCGTGGCGGCGCTACAGCTTCAAGAAAGCACGTAATACACCTTTGGACCCCGTGTAGAGATCTGCCTTTCGTATTACGAGTATCAAGGCCGAACGAAATTTTCTACACCATCACATTCCGTCCGAACTGTCATGAAATGTGACAGTGAGGCCTATTGCTGCCGAGGGATGCTTCGCGAAGAACCATTCCCGGACATAGTCTGCTGGCATCCTAGACAAACGTCGTGTTTGGTAGTGTTGCGAGAGAAACTTCCCAGGCGTGATGTGAAACCGGAAGCATTAATCCAAAATGTCAGTGTCGCCTTTCCTGCCCTCGCAAGCTGTCTTTCACAACTCGCTATCTGCAGAATGATGGAAGCAATTCAATGAGTCGAAGCGTAAGCAGGCTTTTCACTGCGATGCGAGGAGTTTGAACAAGACCAAAGCAGCCGAAGCATGCTAAACTACCAAAGAAGCCGAAAAGCTTAATCAAACACTGCCACATTAACCGCATTAGACTTGACGAGAACTTGACAACATGCAGCAGCGGTGATAGTGAAGGTTGCGATCTGGTGGCGACGATGCAGACATTGACGAAAACCACAAGGACGACTGCCGTGTCGTAATCGTCGTCTTAGAACCATAAGCCTTTCGTCTTTCTCTGAAGTTCCTTGCGAATATGACATCCGTCTATCTCTTGCACTGTCCACATTATTCACAGTACAAAACGAAGCAGATTCTGACGACCATGGAGAGCAATCCGAATTGCACTGGGGTCCCGAGCTGGAGCCACAGAGTGCTGTTCCTGTCTGAGCGCAGGGATTTGTTTGTGTGGATGATATCATCGTGGTGGATGACGGCTTTAAGCAAAGAAAACTGGACGCCAAGAGCTGTCGAGTCGAGTACAGTGACACAGAGACTCCTGCGCACGTGCGTGCGCATTCACGCTCACTGGAACATGCTGCTCCGGACTGGGCCAGCATGCTATAATCCGTTCTTTCTGAGTGGTGCTCACGAGAACGTATTGAGCCCGATTCAGGTCAGGTATCTGGAAGAAGGTAGTTTGTGGCAGTCTTGGTGGTGTCAGGAACGTGGTCGCAAATTGTTCAGAACACTCAACGTTCCAAGGCAACAGGCAATGTGAAACAGGACTCCTAGATAGTCTCAAATTGTTGCCCGAGCCGTAAACCTCCCCACACGATCAACAACGAAAAAGGCACCCTGAGAGATACTGCTGCCCAGATGCCGATAGCATTCAAATTCGTCCTGTGGCAGCTTCAGCTGCAGCCCTGGATAGCTCAAAAGAGCCCAAGAGCTACTGCCAGGGTTTATGAGGTTAAGGATAGGGCATATCAAAAAAAGTCGAACACAACGGTTTCGACTTACGGCAAGATCCTTTCTGAAACAGCTGACAGCCGAGAGCAACTGTGTCCCGAAGCCGAATTTCGAACATGAACAGTAGGGGCGATGACGCTGACTCTCATTGATGGTGCTGCGTGCAACACTGAACATGCCAAGCTTCATCCGAAAAACGAAGCAAACCTTAGACCCGAAGCCCCCTGCGCAGGAACCTCGAGTCCTAAACCGAACACCGAAGCGTCTCGAACTAGAGATGCAAGGACTGGGAGACCTGTTGCCTCCTTAGAATGCCACGACGAACACCAAACCTAACTTTGTGGAATGTCGGCTTCAGCCTGCTCCGGGTTCTGTCCGGCGTCGAAGTCTCATGAGGCTCGGGAGAGGGAGAGAGATACCAGGCAACTGACTTTAATGTCTTCAGGCACTGCTCTGCGCAAAACTGCAAGGTGGCCCCGGGGTTTCAGATTGTGGATCTTGTAGAGTTCAGCCTTCAGAGACGCCCCGCGCTCCACGTCGGATATCTTCAGTTCGAGCGAATTTCCCACGCCTCGCTCCACACTCGAGGCGATGGATTGGTGTACCAGGATCACGTCCTTGGTGTACGAACCAAGGGTTTGCGCATTTCATGTTCGGAAGACCACAGCATATTGCAACTGCTGAACCTCAGCAGAGCAAGCCCCGAAACCCTAGATGCCCCCAAAACAATGCTGCATGTAGGGGCGTTCCGCACAGCCCCGCCTGACTACCGCCAGGCTTGACAGGAAGATCGTGGTGATTGCAACGGTACATGGGGTTCGAAGCCAGCTGACTACCTTATCAAAAACCCGCCCGAATCCCAAGCGGGATTGCACTTCAGCTCGGAAGCCGGACCTGTGCTCGAACATAGAAGTAGTAACTTCAGGACAACGCCAAGTTATTGACACAGCATGTTCGAAAAACAGTGAAGCTGTAACAGAATCAAATGTTTCGGCACCTGGTGCAATCTTCTCGCACATCACCGTATTCCGCCGGCTTTCGGAAAGTTGAACCCGGAAGACAGCAAACCAAAGCACAACATTGAAGCCAAAGGTTCCAAGCAACGAAAGCCTGAGACACTCTGGTCCCAGCTGAACACATGATGTTCTTCTTCTGTCGGCAAGCACCTCTCTCTCTCTCTCTCTCTCTCTCTCGCTCTTTCTCGCTCTTTCTCGCTCTCGCTCTCGCTCTCGCTCTCGCTCTCGCTCTCGCTCTCGCTCTCGCTCTCTCTCTCTCTCTCTCTCTCTCTCTCTCTCTCTCTCTCTCTCTCTCTCTCTCTCTCTCTCTCTCTCTCTCTCTCTCTCTCTCTCTCTCTCTTTCCACACAGTGAAGGACAAAGAAACACATGTACAAGTAATTCTTCCGTACTGCTGGGTCCGAGACATTGCAATACGGCGCTATTGTTATACCATCGTACGACCCATACCCGATTAAGCCATATTCAAAGAATGCAAAAACAACATTGCCAACCACCTTCCCCAGAGTCGTTGGGCGTCAGCCGCAGTAGGTGGTATCCAAACGGTCGAAACTTGTGCCTTACGAAGTGGAGGAAGGAATTAACGCTTTGGACTTTGGCCTTTGACCCAGACCAGCTCGTCCAGACACTATGGTCGAGTATAGTTTGGCATTTGTTCGCACCGTTTAAGTGTGTCTGGTCTATAAAGTTTCCATAGCATCTAGAGTATGTTGCATTGCATATATATATGTATATATATATATATATATACATATTCAGATGGAGTACTTACATATGTATATGCACATATGTATAGAGAAAGTACTTGTTGCGTGAGTATATACACAGAATACATATAGCCTAATTCCGGTATACTATGTAAACGGTATAGACGGCTTATATGCGGTACAGTATGTATAGCATGTAAATATGATTCGTGTCTATGTTTTGCTGTACAGCATGGTATCATAGTACATTGTCGTACATCGTAGTAAATGGTAGAGACAGCTTGTGTGAACATCTGGAAACGTCAAGCACGAACAATGACGTCATCGTGTTTCGACCTCGCGCCATTCAAGTCCAACAGGAATCCTAGCCGCTGCGTCATACTTCAAGCTCACACTACTGTGGGGCTACATCTCGGTCTTGATGCTTCATTGCCTGTCTGTAGACGGTCCACTTTCCGCGTCACACGTCAGGGCAAAGCAACGCAAAGCAGCAAAGAACACTGTAAGAGACTGGTGATATCTGAAACTCCTACAAACGACACAAAGGACAAGCGTGTCTTTCCCGTCTCTGCCCGAGGCGAGGAAGAAGAGGACTTGACAGCTGGTCGACTAAACCACCGCAGGATCAAACGAAGGCCCAGCGATAAAGGTTCACGAAATGGGTTCGGCCAGCGGGGGAAGTCATTTGCCATTGGAGGTATACCCGTGGGAAAAATCAAAAAACGCTTCAGATAATTGTGGATTCCCATAGTAGCCAAGGTGCAGCGCATAGCTGAGCGAGCAACCCGAGGCCGGATTCAGCACATCAACATCGTACCTTCGAAGTAGTTGCGTTTGTTTTGTCTCGAATTAGACGAGATGGGGTTCAGGGTGCAGAGCTGGTGCAGAGTTGAGGGTTTCCGGCTGTAGGCTGCAGGGTTTGGAGTTCAGGGACCTGTCTTCATGTGTTTTTGTTCTGGACACGTTTTCTGCGGGCTGCGCATGAAGGGGATTTTGGACTCTGACCTGCATGGGTGCGCTTAGACGTGAAGGCTGGGATGCCGAAACCTACGTTGAAGAAGCTTCAGCGAAGCCAAGTTTTCATGTTGCAGCTATGATGAATGCATTTGATGTTTGGTCTTGTGAAACTGAGGTCTGCGATGATCAGAGATTTTGCAGTTAAGGCTTGGGGTTTGGGGTTTACGACTGAGCTGAAATGCAGCAATCCAACTCTGACTAACCGATGGCCCAGCAAACCTCAGCCCACAAAGAAGGCAAGCCCATCGTGGCAAGCAGCGGCAAAATTACCCCGTTTCTACCCAAATTGAAGATTCAAGTGTTTCACCAAGAACCACACCCTGACCACACCGTCAGCAATAGCCCTGCAATGGTCCAACAGCTTAACCTTTTTGTGTTAACAGTATCTGGCGCAACATCGTCAGTCACAGCCGCATCAGATACCATGTTGGCCGTAAGTTTCGACGCAAATGCCGGAAACAAACACAAGAATTCTGAAGCCTAAAATCCCTAAGACCCTAAGAAGCAGACTGCTGCAGGTAAAGGCCCGGCACTCGGCATCCAACTTCGGCGAAACGTCCGCGTGCCACTGCAGCGAGAAGCGAAAGGGTGGCGGAATGTGAAAGACGATCTCCAGGTGGATTACCTCCGGATGTCTTTCGAAGCAAGCCCGTCAGAAATCTTGAAGTCACACGCTGACGACACCGAAAGCCAAAAGCCTCTGATCTCTGAGCTGCAAATGGGCAACTCGTCGCTATAGACAATAGTAGCACCCGTATCTCACAGCTAGCTGCAGACCCCATCAACATCTACAAGCATGACGCACTTCAAGACTACATGTTTTGAGTCTCGCAAATCTTGAAAGCTCAGCGTTGAAGCATCGTCGAGGGCAAAGCAAAACAAATCAGCAAGTCTGCAAGTTATGGCACGACTACCACCTTGGAACTGCACCCGTGAAATTCCGGATCAAGTGATTCAAGTTCTTGGCGCAAGCGTAAAACCTAGAGCTGGTGACGGCGTGCTGTCCGTCTTGTGTTTGGGCTGCTGGCAACCCACTCCAACAGCAAGCTTACCATTCCTGGACTCCAGCGGCTCAAGTCGCGGGCGAGCTTCCTACTTGGTCCTACTCCGACGACGACAAAGACGACGACAACGACGGCGGCAGCAGCAGCAACAAGCACAACAACAGCAGCAGCAACAACAACAACAACGGTGACTACTCCTTGGGGAACATGAACAACTACCCCAACCATCTGTGCCATGGTAGTCATGACTATGGTCTGTGAGACGGGGCCTTCGGCGTCACGATCTGTAAAAGCTCCTCGACGATGAGGCAGTCGACGCCTCGGAAACGAGGACTGTTTGCCCCACTCGCGGTCGGCCGCCGGACCCGTGGCAATGAGCCCAAGGAGGTTCTCAGGGAGGCCAAACCAGGCCTCTTCCATCCGGATTGGGGGATTCCGGTTCCTATTCGCCATTTGCGAGGCACAGTGTCGCGGCAGCTTTATCGATGCATCTCCGGCTTTCCCAAACAATCAATTCCTAAAATTCAAGCGTGCCTCGACATGTCTTCCGGTACATGCTTTCGTTAAACCATCCTGACTATCGATGGCACTGAGCCCCTCCATCTTGGGCGGTTGTGGCATTAAGCAATGGTGCAGCTGCCAGTTGTCACGGTAGGCTGACCGTGGAGATGACAATGTCACTAGCATCACTAGAAGCATGAGCACGCAACGAGACGACATCGACCAATCTCGAATTTCAGCAGCAGCGGCAGCGGCAGCAACGCCGACAACAGAAACGACACGGCTCATGCTGACGAATACCCTCGTAACTCTCGATTAACTAACAAGAGACGATAGTAGCAACCGCAGCAGGGAGGGGTGGCAGGATGCTGCTTTCGTAAGACCCTTGTGTCTGAGCCCTTGCATAAACCCCAAACCAAACCCCAAACCCCAACAAAGATCCCTCGAAGCCTAACCTCTGAGTCCTATATACCCTAATGCCAGATGCAAGAGAGCCCAAAAGGCCGTCAATGTCCACGACCAGGAAGTCCAGGGGCCAAGGCTGCGGAGCCTCGGGTTCGGGGGGTTTCAATCCTATGTGGGGTCTTAGGATAGGAGCTTTCGGAAACTTCAAGTTTACGCCGTCCGGTGCCGTGATATGGCTTCTGTAGTCTAAGGCCGATGGGGTCGCAGGACTTGGTCAAGAAGGCTAAAAGTTCAGCACAATGACTTCTTATTTCAGGGACAGGGCTTTAAGTTTTAAGTGCGATGTGGCACCTTGCGAGTTGGAGCCATTGCCCTGGTGAGGGAAGCGGAACTTAGGGTTCTGACTTGCTGCTTCGTGGGCTTCGAGGTGCCGCGTGACACGAGCTTTTGCGTAAGATGCATTAGCACATATGCTTTGGAGTGGCATGGGAACCCCAGTCCTTCACGACGGATCTCCCAACATCTCTGTGACGAGGAATGAAGCTGGAGTCCCAACACTAAACAAACAGTGTCACATGTCTCTCGTGCGTGTGAAAACCATGCGTGTCGTTTTTTTGCCGTGCACCGGAAATCTAATCTCGCATTTTAACCAGGTGGCTTCAACTCCACGAAGCCGCAGCATCCAGCTACAAACTCCCAACATGACTCTTCAGTCTGCCTAGTCATCCTAATCCAAGGTTTGCGCGGAAGCAGGCGGCCCGGCACAGCGCCTAGACCCAGAAAGGAGCAGCTTCTTGCAAGGACGTGACATTGCCGAAGATCAGCTTGAGGTAGGGTAGCCTCTTGCTTTCACCGCAAGAGGTTGCCAGAAGGGTGTATGATGCCTGTGACTGCCTGTGCTTTCAAGCCCTTGTCATTAAACATCTAGTACTAGTATCTAATCCTGTGCTGTGCGGAATATTTGAACATCAGCCTCCTGCATGCACAATCCTGCAAAACTCTGAAACTCTACTGCTCTACACCCTTTTGGCATCCAGCCTGCTGCATCTGCTCGGAACCCAATGGAGGCTTGCTGCAACAATTCAAAGCTCGTAGACTGCTAAGCCCCCTTGAAGGCCGAAGCATTCCTCCCGAATTCCGTGACAGGCCTTTCAATTCCGAAATCCCGAAGCTCACGCTTTGCTGCGGCATGCCTGTAAAAGTAATAAGTCATGCGACACCCTTGCCAGATTTGGGAGCTTCTTGACATCAGATGGCTTAGGCTCCATGTCTTCAAGGACCCTTTAGACTGCAGGCTTTATCCAACTTGTGATGTATGCTGTGGAGTCAATGTAGAGCCAGAAAGTAAACATCCAAGGGGGCGTGTGTGCAATGCCGGGTTGAGGTGCGGTAAAAGGGCAATTGGTCGGCGGCAGCTGTTGGATCCATCGTCATATGCACCTCTTCGGACACGTGCTGTTCAGTCAAGGTCTAACAACAAACATCCAAGGCGTCGGAACCTTGCTAGCGGCCAGATGTGTCAAGGTATGCAAATCTCCTGGTCGTCCTTTCGTGCTGACATCAAAGAGATCACTTCGAAACTGCTTTGCCATGCTTTGCTCATTCAACAACTTGTCACACGTGCCCGTGCTCAAGATACTTGCACATGCCAAGGATTGCGGATGTAAAACCCCGAGGCCCGATCCACATCACGCAGCGCGCGTTTCGGCTCAGGACTTCGTCACCTTTGAGGCCCTCGACTTACTTCGGACGCACGGAAATCTGCAACTGACTCACTCTGACTTACCAGAGCTGACAATTCCTTGAGCCTTTCAAAATTCGAATATCGACCTGGATCGACCTCTACAGCCTGCGAACAGAATCAGCTCAGAATCAAAAGAGCAGGAGAACAAAAATATTTTACTTCGAGCATCCCCCACCCGAGCGCATTGTGCTTCCTACACGCAAATCCTAAGACCTAAAGAACCCGAGCCTAAACCTTAAACCCTGGTGTTCTCGAGCACTCCAGGGATTCTCACGGTAGTCTGGGGGATGGGTACTCCAGGAGGTAATTTCAGCGTGCGTGCGAGGAGTAATAGCTGACTTTAAAATCTAACAACCCCACACCGAGGGTGGGGAACAACAGCAAGTAAAGTAACTGCTGACATACGTGTGGACAGGTACCATTCGTACATACAAATACCAACATAGTTCAATTTGGGATGCTACTGCTATTGTAGGAAACGTCCATGATGCGGGCCCACAGTGGCATAAATCGTACGGAATCCATGCTGGGGGGCTTGAAGCTATCTGTGGCACAGGCCCGTTTCTCAGCCAAGCGACTACGAGGAGCGACTGCGGTGCACATACCCTTATGCCCTCAAGTACTGCGAGCAGCATTCTCACCACTTTATTAAGACCGCTGTAGAATCCCCAAACCTTTGGTTGCAGGCACCGGAAGAACCCGTGCCGGTGTCTGGCTCATGGCAACTTCACACCTGACCAAATCGCCGAAGAAGAGAGATTTCGCAGTCATCGGTTCAGGCTTCTGCGGTTGTTCGTTTGGGGGGGGGTGCTCTGAGTGAAGTGTGGGAAGCTTGGGTTTCGACCCTCACACTGACGCAAGGCACGTAAGGCTCCACATAGGCTTGGGTTTATGGTTTAGAAAGGTTACGGTCTAGGGCTCAACTCGGGCTGAATCAGAAGGCTTCTGGGGCGATGGTATCCGCATGATACGGCATACGGTTCCTCGAGACTGTTCTTGTGCTTATGTACCGTCTGCGCTGGTTTCGGTCCCGCTCGCCAGGCTGCCGACTGTAGTCTGCCCTCTTGAACCCGCTGCTGCTGCCTCTGAACTAGTTGGGATTCCGCGAAAACCTGTCCCTAAACTGGCCCCGAAACCCTTAAAGCCTTACAGGGCCAGAAAACATCAACCTTCCGAGCACCAAGCCTCTCCTGCCCTACTTGTGATGTGCTGTACCTTTGCCACCGGACCTGGCCCGCAGGCCCCAGTTGCATCGCAGTACAAAGCTAAATCTCCTCTGAAGCTTAGCTCTTGGAGAGCTGCTGCCCTAAGCTTTCTTCAGCCTCCTGGCTGAAGCCTCGTATAACAGTCGCCCGAATTCTGGGCAACTTGGCTTCAAGGGCTTGGTGCCTCCAAGTCGCGAGCTTGAGGACTTGAACGCTCAGTCGCAAGACATGCTGTAGGCGTTGCGTAGGTTCAGTGCTGGGCTTTCTGCCCCGCCCCATCAAAGGGGCTCCGAGGTGCCAATAAGGTGTGAGAAATCTGAAGTCGAAGGATCAGGGGCCGGGCATTTGGTGCTCAGGCTTAGGGCTCTCGAGCCTTCCGGGCTTAGCTGGAGATTGGGAGGGGGAGGAGGGGGTTGAGGCGGGAACGGTATCCGAAATCACTGCCTGGCCTGACACTTCACTCTCAACTGCAACCTAAAGCCCCTCGTGAAGGCAAGGAAATGCCTGTCAAGTCGGCTCCGATCCGATTCCACCGCCAATCCGACGAATCCCCAGCCTCACGGAGGGCTCAGTTTTTCGTTCTCTGAAGTTGTGGCGTAAACTGCTTCAGTGCTGGTTGAGGCACACTGGCATACTGATGGACACACAACACACATCTACACACATGATAAGTGCATACAACACACCCTAGGCTTGCTATTGAAAGACTTTGGCACGCAAGCCGTGCATACATGTTTACAGTCATGCATGCATGCGTGCACTCTGTATGTCTGTATGTATGTATGTATGTATGTAAAAGAATACGTATGCATGTATATATGTACACTTGCATCTAGGCAGGCGTGTATGCACGTATGTTCATATGCATGCATGTAGATATGCAAGCATGCAGGTGTTCCTGCGTGCACGGGTGTATGTACGTAGGTACGTACATCTCCACACACATCACCCATCCCTTCTGGTTGAAAGTAAAGCTGTCAAGCCCTCGGCCCTCGGCCTTACACTCCCGAAATCTGCATCATAAGTCCGCCACCCTACAAAAATATGTTTTCCTGCGGGCCCCTTCAGATCGCAAGCATTTGGCTGCACCAGCGGTCAGGAGCCCGTAAATGACCATGTTCCTATATGACGTTTACGCATTGCCTACATGCTTAAGAGGTAGCTAGTTAGTGTGATGACTCGCGCTGGGCTGTAGGCCCTTTGAGGTCTGCATTGTGATTCTGGTTGCCGGTGAACCTAAAAGCCCTTGCAATGCAGAGGCTCCACAGCATTACTGCCTGTACTTACGGTACGAGCCTTCGCCCTTGCCCATGGAAACTAAACGTGGCTTGTCAATTCTTGGTCCCTGCAGACTAGTGAGCTTCGTGGCGCGCCCCTACTTTATGTGCAAATACTAAAAACTTGCAGCTGAATGCAAACTTTCTTTGACAGGGTGACACTTGCTTCTTGAGTTCGTCAATCTTGGCACCTAAAGCAGCAACTTCTTGAAGTGATGATGCGTCGACAGTACGGCCTCGTACTACTCGCTACATCTCTGCATTATCGGTGTCGAGGTGCTGGTTCTATTAGTACTGGAGGATGACACGAGGCGATTGGGGGAACCATTTAGCGGTGCTTTGCAGGTAGGTTCAATCCGGCAACCAACGCCTCAACTCAACCGCAACTCCATCAACCCCCTAAAACACTCTCAGAACAGACCTCCCCCAATCCTCAAACCCTGAACCATTAAACTTTCATAATCGTCGCAATTATACAACTAGTGTGAGTAACCCCTACAACATCCCTGCACAGGAACCCCGGAACCCAAGAGGTCCCCTCCTTGAGGCGAGGCCAGGAGCTGGTATAAGGGATCCTCGCTTTTGGCTCCCTCCCACAACAGTTTTCTTACCTTTGGTTAGAAGGGAATGGAAGAATGGCAGGAATAGTAGTTATAATTGTACCCCATTCCTCCATTCCCCATTAGCCAAAGGTAACTTTTGCCCACTTCTCATACGAGGTGGTTTGGATCGGGTCGGTGGTGAAGAACTTTTACTTAAGGCCTCTTTTTGTCCGCATGCATGGCGTTGAGGCTTCAAGTGTCGAGCTTCGGCTTTCTAGGCTCTAGCGCTTGGGATTCAAAAGTTAGGGGTGTAAGGCCGAATGTAGGGCTTCGGGCTGAAAGGGTCCAAAGGCGTTTGGCTTGATGGTTTAGGGTGTTTCTTGTAGCAACCGAATCGGTTGCTACAGGGCTGGGAGGCTTCCGCGCCAAGGCTCACACAAAGGTATTTGATTATTCTAGATTCTAGAGTTCTCAGCGGGGATTCATTTGTCGGCTCTTTAGAGCGTTCCCTTGCCGTTGGCTTCAGAGAGTCTTGGCTTAGAGGATTAAAGGGCTCCTGGTTCAGGGACCTCTCTGGCCAATTGACGGTTCTGGATTTCATATATCCATTCCGCAAGTGTGCAGGAGTAGATTGAATTTGGCTGCAAGGGGGGGGGGGGGCCACATGTCCCAACACAAGGCGCTTCTTTGCTTCATGGGGCTGCACTTTCTTCCCCGAAATTCTGGCCCCTGTGCCTCACTGCAAAGACCGAAAAACTCGAAACATGACCCACAAGAGGAGTGAAGACCAATTCCAGAGACCCAGTCCGGTGGCTCACATGTGCCAGCTCCGATATTCACCTGGGCAGCTTTGATAGTCACGTTCTAGGGCTTAGACCCGAGCATGGCGCATTGCAGAAGGATGCCCTTGTTCTAGCCTTACTTGCAACCCGACTTACTCAGACGCAGCCACAACTCGAAAATGGATCTGGAGCTATCTTGCCGTCTGGAACTGCGCGAGGCTTGTAACCAATCTTATGAGATTTTGTCAAGCTCTTCTGCGAAAATACAAATTATCTTGCTGGTTTGTGGCTGGCACTTTCGTTAACAGACGCAAGTGCTGGGTGGGATGCATTGCACCATCCTCCTTTCTCAAACGCCTGGTAACTTCCGCGAAATACATTGCCATGACACGAAACCCTTTTCAACTGCAACCCACAATACCGAGCCCAAGGCCTGGTGACTCTCATCCTGCTCTGACAGGTCGCGAAGGTTCCAGAGATTGGATGCCCGAAGGAAGCCAGAAGAACTGCCAGCGGCCAAAGAACTGCACCCCTGGGCAGCTAGCAGGTAACAGGCTTTGGCGGCTACAAGCCGGGCCGAACCCTTCACATCGTGCCAGCGTTGGGTGGGATTCCGCGGCGGAATGCAACAAAGAACAATATCTAGAGCCACAGGAAAGGAAACACATGGGTAAACATGCCAGGAACAAACGCACGCATCATCTTCAACATTGTAACCTGAGAACACGAAAGCCCCGATCTGCATCTTGTTCTTTACTATCTAAACCCACATCCGGTTTACAACTTCAGGTTGCCACGGCAACGAGTCAAGCTTCACGAATGGAGAAACAGGTGCTGGGTTGCGGGTGTTAAGCTCTCAAGGCTCATCAAGAAGTTTCGGAGCGTTGAGATGTACAGGAATTCTGTAGCTTGAGGCCTCTGACTGGAAGTTCCCCCTGTGGCCGCAGTTTTGTGCACACAGTTCCAAGATGCACCTTCATGGCATGATAAGAGAGCGCTTCTACAGAATGGATTAAGGAGAATACAGAGCGGTATAGACTTGTAATGCTGGAGGGTCGCAGGTCAAGATGCAATGGAGGGGCGTGTCAACCGTTTGCCGTTCTTGGCCCGGAGCAGATGAGCTGGCGGCGCAAACGAAACCTGTGCAGGCCAACTGCTCCCCACAAACACCGCTTTCTTGATCCCCTGAGCCATGCCTGAAGACTAAAGTGCAATTTTGCATCGGACGCTGAGGCTAGTTGACGACGATGAGGTGGGGTGGCACTTTCGAGTAGGTTTCGTGCCTCTGGGGAGGGCGTACCGCTCACATTGTCGGACGCTTTGTGACTGCAGGTGCCAATGCCACAGGAAGTATGAGTGCAGAGGACTGCTGTCTACGTGTTGCCTGCTGCCGTTGTGAGTTGGGATTTCGGAGACTGCATACTGGTGTTCACCTGCGGCAACTGCAGACGGTCCAAAAATGTCATCTACTAGCCGAATCAAGCCCAACTACCGCCCTACGTACACCCGGCAAGAACATCGAGAGCGGCAAGGTGGAATCCTCCAGTCAAGAGGCAACTCGGGGTTGCTCACGCAAATAAATCAAGCAAAAATAGATTCCTACTACAGCGACTGGTTTTCTCTTTTTTATGCCCACAAAGCTGCAGCCAAAGCAAGAAGTAAAGCACACAAGACTCGAGGTGACTTAGCCACCCGCGCCCCCACATGCAAAACAACCTGCAAATTCGTTGTGTTAAATGTAAGTCTCCGCGAACGTGCAACGCTGTAAAGGTCTTGACATAGCGACTTGATGTGAGGGCAGCGCCTGGCGTCTGCTGCCCCAGACGGAAGCGGAGCCTCTGGAACCGCGCGGACGAGGTTAAGATGCTGCAAGTAGCGACCCTTGTATTATGCACAGGCACATGCAGACCACTC